TTATAATTAAGTTATTAATTAATTTATTAATTATAAGTTATTAATTTAAAAGTAATTAATTAAATTAAATTAATTCAAAGTAATTAATTAAGTTATTAATTATAAGTTAAGTTAATTACAAGTTAAGGGTTCAAATATATAGGCCTACATAGCTCGTTTTGCAGCTGATGCGCGCAAACGCTAATATATTTGACTCGTATTCGAATCTTCGCGATTCGAATTCGAATAGTTCGCACATCTCTACTCCCAAATAGGAAAAAACGCTATGCAGGCTTGCGAAAAGTTGCGTGAACTTTATGGTGACGAAGCCTTAAATCCTTAAAAGAAGTGCCAGTGTCAATATTGGTTTATTCGTTTCCGTTCTGGTGACCATAGCGTGAAAGATGCATCTAGTTCAGATCTGCCATTGGAAGTTGATGACGATAAAATAAAGGCATTAGTTGAAGCTAATCGACGTTCTACCATTCGTGAGCTCGCTGAGGTAACGTTGACTAAAAATATCGATTGGAAGCGATTGGAACCTCCATTTGAGACAACTTGGTTACGTCAGTAAGCTCGATGTTTGAGTCCCGCATGAACTGAAAGAAGTTCACCTCATAAAACGCATAGACATCTGCGATCGACTTCTGAAACGTGAACAATCCGACCCATTTCTGAAACGCATGATTACCGGCAATGAAAAATGGATTGTCTGCAACAATGTGAAGCGAAAGCGATCGCGGAGCAAGCGCGATGAGCCGGCCCAAAGCACATCAAAAACAGACATCCACCAGAGAAAGGTGATGCTCTCAATCTGGGAGGATTAGAAGGGTATGGTGTTTTTCGAGCTCTTACCATGAAATGTTACGATCAATTCGGACGTGTACTGTCAACAGCTCGACAAATTGAACGAAGCGGTCAGAATTGATAAGTCGCAAAAGAGTCGTCTTTCATCATAACAACGCTCGACCACACACAAGTTTGATGATTCGCGAAAAATTGTTAGTGCTTGATTGGGATCTGTTGCTTCATCCATCAGACGTATTCGCCAGACTTTGCACCATCAGACTACTAATTGTTTCGGTCCATGCAAAACTCCTTGCGTGGAAAAACATTCGCTTCAGATGACGCTCGATCGAACTTGTACTTGGTGCGGTTCTTCGCTAATACAGATAGGAAGTTTTTCGAGAATGGGCTCATGAAGTTAGCGGAAAGATGGCAGAAGGTCGAACAAAAAGGGCAATATATCATTGATTAATGTTCATTCATTGTATAAGACAAACGGTCTTGAAAATTTGTCTGGAAAAAACGCAATGGTTTTTTGAACAACCCCATAATTTGCATCACATTTTGTCGCACATGCACTTCGCATTTCGACGAGCCATTTCGCGAGGGCAGCAATCTGAGCGGTATCTGAGCTACGTTGTTCTGCGTACGATCCGTTTACACGTGCGTAGTCAGTGGTTCGATTAAACACGTGTCCGGCTGATGCCGTCGTGTCAAGCCGTCCGACATCAACGTTACCGTTGTTATCCATTGCGTAGCAGATAAGCGCGCCGCGCGCGCGACCCAACCTCTCCCTGATTCTGCCAGCGCAATCGTTTCCAGCGGCGGATATTCCAGGCACAGAGCGGCGCGGCCGTGTGCGCGCCGTTATGTTGAAAATCGACGACCTTATTTCCTTAAAACGCGAGCAAGCGGCGGCCGAGCGCCATTTCTGTGCTAGCGGGTTTCACGTGCCTCGTCGCTGCGATTCGCGCGAGTTTGCCGCGCGGTTTGTCAACGCGCCGGACGTCGAAATTTAGGACGCCCGGCTGCGCTAAACCGGCGCGGCGCGGCGGTGCGGAATTTCGCGCTCGTTTGTACGCGAGCTCTGTCCGAGGGCGATCGGACGTTCCCGATCGCGCGCAGCGCGGCAGCTCCTCGGCCGCTTAAAGGATCCCCGTTGCGACTCTCGGCGAGATTATCCGCCGAGATCCCCGCCCAAGGACTCGCTCTTTCCTTCCCCCCCGCGCGACACAAGCGAGCTGCAAATCGAGAGCGCGGCACATCGAGCCGCGAAAGTAAAACGTTGCACAATGATCAGCTGGTCGCGATAGCGCAACGTCTGCGCTGCGCGCGCGCGCGCGCGCAGCGCGAGCTGGCTGTCTAGACCGCTCCAGACGGTCCAATTTCGCGTGGACCACTCCGCCTCGAACGAACGCGCTAAGCGTGACGAAAGCGCTAAAGCGTGCTCGGTCCTCCGGTACATTCTGATGTCCCTTGGCGACATTCATATCACGAAAGCGCGCGACGCGTTTTGCAACCTCCCGCTCGGCCGGGTAATCGTGACGCTGTGTGACAGCCGGTCACATGTTCAGGTTCCAGTTAAAAATACCCATAACCCAATTTACGCGGCTCGGCGAAAGTAAGAATATGCGTTTCCTCGCGGGCTCTCTCGCTGCTCGCGAGTGACAGTGAATTCGAGCGACTCGTGGCCGACGGAAGCCGAGGCGAGGAGGCGAGCGCGAAGCTGAAGATACGAGTCTCGCCGCGTAGCCTGGCGAAGCTGTCAAACGCGGCAGCTGTACTTGACAGCTCCGCCGCTGTCAGCTACGCTCGCTCGGCGCGGGCCGAGCGAGAGACCGTGCGCGTTCATTCAGCATAGCGCAGCGCGCGGCGACTCGCCAGGCCAGGAGTTACGTTTTCGGATGCGAGAAACTCACTTGATCAGAATCCTCCAGAAGCAGCCAAAGCTGGAGCCGTTCGGCACTTCGCTCGCGTACGATATAGTCATTTCCTGCCTGACCACACTCTCCTTCCCGACACGCTACCCTCTTCTTCTTCCTCCTCCGCCACCCCCTCCGCCGCCTCCTCCTCCTCCTCCTCCTCCTCCTCGTCCTCCTCGTGTTCTACGGACGACCTGGACGTACCTCGCACTGTGGTCGTCGGTGTTTCCGGTGGAGATGCTGCACACTCGCGCACATGCGGCACGCGGGCCGCCGAGGTTCCGTTTCGATCGCTGCTGATCGCTCGGCGGGTCTGTGGAAGGGGCTCCGGGACGGGAAGCGCACCTGGGAATTTAGCTGATAGCTCGCGATGGGCTTACCATCAGGAAGTTCGGTTCACGCGCGGATGGACAGAACCAGCTGACCGGGCGAACCGACTGTCTACTGACTGAACTCCGCTGACGGACGGCGGGACCAAACGGAGAACGGGGCCCGGCCTGCCACCTCCACCTGGGGAGGCAGGAGTGTGAGCATCACCTGCGGAACCCGTTTCGGATTAAAGCCGCTTACTCGCGCGCTGCTCGCAGCCGCGGCTGATCCGAGCGCGACGGCAGGCTAAGGCTTCAAATTCGACGGTCGTGTCTGCGACGAGAGAGACGCGCAGGAGACGGTCCCGCGGAGAGAGCCGATCATTCCGGGACGAGGCGAAGTTGCGCAAATGTGTGCGATCTACCGTACTCGCGGTGGACGCGAGGGGCGTGTTAAATGTCGAGAGGATGAGTAACTGGTCTGGAGCCCAAGATCTCTCAAGAGCGCGCTGCAGCAGTTTGTCTTGCGGATTTCTCAATATCGTCCGTATGAGAATTCGCCGCGTATCGCGGGAGGCGAGCCGAAAGTCAACAGGTGACCGCGCTGGTCTAACGGAGAGACGCGCACCACGAGGACCCAGCGCGACTGGGAAACGAGGAAAGAACGAAGTCGGTCTGCGCGTCGAATCGGACGTCCGATTCGACGCGGTGTTTTGCACGACGCGCTAATCACGGCTGCAACGCGGCGGACACGGTTGAGCGTCTCTCGGCTTCTTCGTCTCCGCGCATTCCCAAGGATCCGTCTCACTCTTCCCGGAGTCGAGTCGAGTCGCAAGTATCGCCCCGTCGGGCGGGGTATCAGAGTCATCTCGCGCCGACCCCGGGTCACGTAGCTGTCCGGAGCCAATTGGATGAATTTATGTAACTCTGTCGCAAGTCACTCGTGACATGCGCTTCACACGGAATTCCTCTTTCAAAATCAATGACACGCCTGGCCTTTCAAGTGGATCCGCGCTCGCTCGCTGAGTAAGAGGGGAACGTTCAGCCGTGCGCGCACCGTCCGTGTCGTCTCGGTGATTATCTTAATATCGTCGCGGGTTACCGCGTTTCGCGCTGAATCACCCCGCCGCGTCCTCCTTTGCGGCCGGCGCTGTGCCATTGTGTTATTAGCATAGCTAATTATAGCGTGCCGGGTGAACGATAAATCAGTGTTCACGCGGAGAGATATCTGTGTGTAACTCTCGTGACCCTCACGATACCCTGCTCGCCGTTGGAGGACGTCCCGGGTGGAGAGCCGCGGGCTGCTCTTTTACGGCACTGGGCCCGCTCGAATCCACACAGCTGGACTCGGATTCACCGGGGCACTCGAAGGCGCCATCTTGCGCGCGCTCTTCACACCTTCCTCTCACCTTGCCGTGGCCTAGCCTGCGGCGTAATCGCGACCTTCTGCTACCAACCACCGATCACCTTTCGCTCGTGCTCGCGTGAATGTACAATACGCGCACTCTCACCGCCAGCTTCGCCGACATCCTTTCTATAACGTAACGGGAAAAGCCGAAAAACAGCCATTGGCTCTTGGGCCTTTCAATGAGAACTCGCTCTCCCTCGGACGGGAACGGGTCTCTCCCAGCTTGAGCGAATCAAGTGTGCCAGATACCGTAAAAAATGGGACATTGACGTCACCGATTGCGCCCAGGCCGATTTCAGCGGCCAACGATCGTCTGCAGTCATTTCCGCGAGGAAGCTTTGCCGTAGAATCTCTGATTGAGAGAGTCGGCTTCACAGAATCCATCCGTCTCGCTGATCTCAGTCACGTGATTTGCATAAATTAGCAACCGGAGCGGTCGCGGTCGCGCGGACAGGAATTCGATTGTCCCGTCACCGGCGAACGGTGCGTTGCGGTGGCGATCGTAACGGGACGAGGCGTTAGGACGAACTACATGTGATTTATAATAATCGATGGTACTTTTTTACAACACGAAATATTGATAACGAGTGGCGCCTCCACGCGAAGACTCAGGGCTTGAGGTCCTTCTGTACATTGTACACGGTGTTCGCCGATACCTGGAACAGCTTCTTCTCCAGCTCGGTTATGCGCATCCGTATGACCTGCGTGATGCCGTTCTCGCCGATCGCACAGGGCAAGGACAGGAATATTTCATGGCACACGTCGTGATGACCCTGGGCGGAAAATGGTCTCACTGGACAATATTACGATTTTGCGCGCTCACTTGGCTAATATGCCGTTCGAGCGGCTTACATTTCGTTAGGGCGGACTCACACTTTGGCAGAAAAGCAGAAAGTAGAAAGGCAACATCCAGTCAGAAGTCGCGCTGATAGTCTGTCTTTCTCTTGAAAGACAGAGACAGACTATCAGCGTGAGTTCTGATTGGATGTTGCCTTTCTGCTTTTTGCTTTTCTATCAAGGTGTAAATCCATCCTAAATCGAATCAGAATTCGCACTGGTAGTCTCTCTCTCTCTCTCTCTCACTCTCTCTCTCTCTCTCTCTCTCTCTCTCTCTCTCTCTCTCTCACTCTCTCACTCTCTCTCTCTCTCACTCTCTCACTCTCTCTCTCTCTCTCTCTCTCTCTCTCTCTCTCTCTCTCTCTCTCTCTCTCTCTCTCTCTCTCTCTCTCTCTCTCTCTCTTCTCTCTCTCTCTCTCTCTCTCTCTCTCTCTCTCTCTCTCTCTCTCTCTCTCTCCCTCCCTCCCTCCCTCCCTCCCTCCCTCCCTCCCTCCCTCCCTCCCTCCCTCCCTCCCTCCCTCCCTCCCTCCTCCCTCCCTCCATCCCTCCCTCCCTCCCTCCCCTCTCCCTCCCTCCCTCTCTCCCCTCCCCTCAACTCCCCTCCCCATCTCCCCATCTCCCCCTCCTCCCCCTCTCCCATCTCCCCCTCTCCCTCCCCCCTCTCCCTCTCCCCTCTCGCTCTCCCTCTCCCTCTCCCTCTCGCTCTCCCTCTCCCTCTCCCTCTCCCTCTCACTCTCGCTCTCCCTCTCCCTCTCCCTCTCCCTCTCCCTCTCCCTCTCCCTCCCCTCCCCTCCCCCTCCCCCTCTCCCTCTCCCTCTCCCTCTCCCTCTCCCTCTCCCTCTCCCTCTCCCTCTCCCTCTCCCTCTCCCTCTCCCTCTCCCTCTCCCTCTCCCTCTCTCTCTCTCTTTCTCTCTCTCTCTCTCTCTCTCTCTCTCTCTCTCTCTCTCTCTCTCTCTCTCTCTCTCTCTCTCTCTCTCTCAAGAGAAAGACAGACTATCACTTGCGACTGGCTGCTTTTCTGCTTTCTGCTTTTCTCCCCTCCTCCCTAAGCTCTCTGCTCCCTCCTTAAGAACGCATTGGCAGAAAAGCAGAAAGCAGAAAGGTAGCAGCCAATCACAAATAGCGTTAATAGTCTGTCTCTTTCTTGTCAGAGTTTTTCTCTCTGTCACTCTCTTGGCTTCTGCTGTTCTGCTTTCTGCTTTTCTGCCCAGGTGTGAATGCGCCCTAAGGGAGAACTCACACCTGGGAAAAGCAGAAAACGGAAAATCAGAAACCAATCATCAGTACTCGCGCTGGTAGTCTGTCTCTCTCTTCTGTTTCTCTCTCAAGAGAGAGACAGACTACCAGCGCAACTTCCGATTAATTTCTTCTTTCCTGCTTTCTGCTTTCCTGCCCTAAGAGCCCATTCACACCTGGGCAGAAAAGCAGAAAGCAGAACAGCAGAAGCCAAGAGATTGACAGAGAGAAAAACTCTCGCAAGAGAGAGACAGACTATCAGCGCCATTTGTAATTAGCTGCTGCCTTCTTGCTTTCTGTTTTTCTGCCCAGGTGTGAATGCGCCCTCAGGAAGGATTTACACCTGAGCAGAAAAACAGAAAACAGAAAGGCAGAAATCAATTTTGCGCTGGTAATCTGTCTTTCTCTTCTATCTCTCTCAGAGAGACTCTTCTCTTTTGTCTGTCAGAGACAGACTATCAGCGCGACTTTTGATTGGATGCTGCCTTTCCGCTTTCTGCTCTTCCGCCCAGGTGTGAATCCTCTCTCAGGGTTTCATCCGTTTTATTTCTACGAGACGCTGATCGGTGACACGAATCGTTATTTGTTGGCGGCGGAAAATTTTTGCCGGCAGGAAAGCTCTTCCTCCGTGTGAATGACAATACGTGCAACACCGGTGAGTGAGGAGCTGCGCGACAACACGTGTCGGTGTATACCTTAACCAAAGTCGAAACTGGTATAATCGCTTGCGTGTTATGCAATATCGCCGATACGATGTTGCCTACGGACAGCCCCACGGCCGTGTTGGAGTATCCTTTCAAGCATCGCACCATGGCGCCTCTAATGAAGTAAAAAAGAAACATCAACATTCGATAAGAATAGAGAGGAGCGTACGAAGAAAAGCGAGGCTTTCGCTCCGACGCGAGTGGAATTGTCAGGCTCACAATCTCACGACTTCTTTCGATATATCGTTCCACTTCTCGTCGTCTGTGTCTAAGCCGATATTCGGGATAATATCGCGGAACTGCACACCCGCGACGTTCACTCCAGACCAGAGCGGAACTGGGAAATGTTAAGTGTTAGGTTGCACCTTGACACGTAACGCATCGCCTTTCTCTTTGTGTCGAATGTCAAAGAGCGCTCGCCGATTGCCCCTGACTCACCCTGACTGTCCCCGTGTTCGCCGATGATGTACCCGTGCACCGAAGTCGGCGCAATTCCGAGCCGATCGGCGATCAGGTAGCGAAATCTCGCACTGTCCAGGTGGGTACCGCTGCCGATCACTTGGTGGGTCGGGAGTCCGCTTAATTTCCATATGATCCACGACAGGATGTCCACTGCGCGCGGAAAAACCTTTCATGCATGCGTTGCTTCGGGTTTTCGACGTGACGCGAAATACACCGTGAGAAAATAACCGAATCATAATGAGTTTTCCTCATCATTTTTACGTCATTTAGTTGTCATTATGGTTTTCTGTTCTACCTGGGGTTGCGATGCACTACGTAACGCAAACCTCGTGTGTCTCTAACTTTCAATTAAGGTACGCGTGCCGAAATAATTTGTTAAATATGTGTGTGTGTGTGTGTGTATGCGCGTTTGTTGAAGATGATTTTAACCTGGGTTACTGACGACGACGTACACCGCATTCGGGCTGTAGCTCACTAAAGGTGGTATTATGCTCTTCATTATCTCCATGTTTCTTTGAACCAAGTCGAGCCGAGTCTCTCCCTTTACCGGCCGCACACCTGCGGCGATCACTACGACCCTCGAGTTACTCGTCACGCAAAAGTCTACGAGAAAGTCATTGTTCACCTGCGGATGTCGGCCCGCAGAAACTCGTGCGGACGAATTTGTATATCCGTGCAAGGTGCAAATTCGAACAATTACGGTCATCAGTCGTGTGCAGATCTAATTACGGCGCTCACGATGGCGCTCACGATGGCGCGTATTGTTTGCAACTAAACTTACACGCGGATTCGAGAAATGCTTTACCAGTGTCGTACTCGATCTTTGGGTCTCCCATGAATACGGAGCCGTGAACAAAGTCCAGTCCTTCACCTTCCAGTTTTTTGGGGAAGGCGTCCACCATCGCGATGTGCGAAGTAATTCGCTAGATGGTAAAAGTCAATGAAGCGTATAGTTAACAAACCGCTAGCTAGCGTTTCTATTCTTTAGTAACCCATGTGCTCTAAACCATAACTATACGCGTAATAGAACTAATATGATTATTACAGCGCGGTCTAATGCTATGCATTCCATTAGGTGCATTTGCATGGTACACGAACTTTCACTTCAATTCCTAACAAACGGCACAGTTCGAACGGCCCTGAAGGGCTATTCGAGGATTATGAAAGGTACCTGTAAGAGAAGCGAATTGGCGACAGCTACGCCGACCATGCCAGCACCTACGACAGTAACTTTATGGCAACAATCCCTAACCGGCTCCGCTAACTTGCACAAGAGCTCTTCTCGCAAACATGGCGGTCTGAAATTCGAGTAATTCGACTTCTTTCTACATCTACGACGAAGTATCGCATTGTGGTTGAATAGTGACGAGTGGACACAGATGAGATGCGCTACGATTTCCTTTTGTATTTTTCTTTTTTCATATTTTTTTCTCAGAATTTAATACTCTTAACGCACGCTTATGCACTTGCCTCTTAATTAATTCATGAATATTTGAAGTGATTTGTATCCAGCAAATTATATATCTGCGATTATATTTCGCTCCGATTTGAAGTCGTCGCAAATGCTTACATGAAATTGTGCACTCCTTGCAAGTCCGACCCCGCAGTCGCATCCTTTCCGAAGCTCTTGCCTTTATCCTTGCGTCCTAGGACTTCCGTGAGAATCGTCGGCGGCAAAGTACGTAAAAATCGGCTCCTGACGAAATCAGCCGTCGACGTCAATCGCACGAGATGCCTCAAGCACAACGGTAAAGATGAATTTGACAGTACAGATGATAGAACCATTGCTTTTGTCACTCGTAGAGTTAGCAAACGTCGCACTCGTCACATTGCATGGGATCGTTTTTCTTTCCAAAGGAGAGAGGACATTGATAAGGGGCCGACATAACATCCTTATGTCATATCGCTATCATATTGGTTCGCCAATTGTCAAACGCATCCATGGTTACTGAACTTTGAAATTTCTGATTGAAAGGTACACAAAGTTGTACGATATATTCGACTCTGCATGTGATTTAAAAAATATTGAAAATGTTTTATTACTGGAAAATGTTATGTATAAATTAAAAATAAATGTTAGAAACGACGAAACATTTATCATTTTAGATCGAATAACAGGATTTGTTAGGATTATTTTTTGACACACAAATATGCATAAACATTCACAATAAGAACATTCGTTGTCTAATCATAAAATAAGTAGTATTTTATAGAAAATACATATACGAATTATTATATGAGCCTATTATATACATATATAATTACTTAAACTACAAATTTATATATAATACTAATAATAACAACAACGATATAATAATATGGAGGCCAATAAAGTTTGAGTCTCGGCTAAAATCAACTTTTTAGCCAAGATTTAAACCACAATTTACTAAGATTCGAACTCATGTCGAAAACGCTATAACTTCATCATTCAGAGCGATAAATAAATTCAAAGTTAAAAAACATTGATGTATATTGATATTTTTGAATCAGAATGTAAATAACTAATTTCTTATTTCAAATATTTTTGAACTATTTTATGTTTCATCTTCTGTTATATTTTCATATTATCAATTAAAACCTAAAAAGTTTAACCGATTAATGAAAAAGAGGGAAAAAGAGGAAAAAAGTGATTAAACAAATGCATATGGTTAGTTTTTTGATATTAATCTTTTTTACGAAATCGCATAGCTTTGGTAAATTGTCGATAATACTTCGCTTCTGCATCGGACACAAAAATAGGAACGCAATAAAGTAGTATTCTTGTAATCTTAAAACTTAAGGTTCTTTTGCACCTCTTGCATCTTTGCTGAAGATTTTTGCAGTAGTGCAAGCTCCTCATATGTTAACTTCTGTTGAACTATAAGCGTTACGCCATCTTCACCCAGCGTGCAAGGTAAAGATAAGAATACTTCCTCGTTGATTCCATGATGACCCTAAAATTTAGTAAAAATATTCGAAAATAGTTCAATTTAATTAAATTTAATTTAATTTTTAATTAAATTTTATTTTTCTTTCGTTCAATATCGTTCCCCAAAAATATGAAGATAGTATTGTTTCATTTCAAAAAATAAAAGAATTGATAATATAAATTTAGCGAAATTTGATATTTTACGCTTTATTTTTTCATTTAGAATATGCTAGCAAGTTTTTCACAATTCGAGAATGATAATAAAATAAAATAAAATGATTGATAAAATGAAATAAATAACAATAAAACAATTCAATAAAAATAGATGCAACGGATGAAACGTTTAATGTATTACTTGAAACATGTAATTATATTTCATAAAACGCAAGAGAAAATATGAACGTTCCAGAAAATTATTTGTCTTGCTGAGAGTAAGTTGCTGTAAATTAATATCGTAGGAAACGTTGTTGTCGACTTACAGTAACCAGTGTGGACACGGCATGTACTTGATTGGAGTTCCTCAGTATCGCTGATGCGAGGTGCGATACGCTGAGACCGATAGCCCACGAGGTGTAACCTTTAAGCTTGATCACCTCGTACGCACTTTGCACCACCTGCTTGTGCAGCTCATCCCAATGTTCCTTGTCCTTGTCGGTGCCGACGTCCTCGTACAAATCGCGCAGACGCACCCCAGCAACGTTCACTCCAGACCATACCGGTACTAATAAAGGCAAAATTTTATACTATATACTTAATATTATCTACTATATACTTAATATTATACTATATACTTTATATTATACTTAATATTATTTTATATTATATACTTAATGTATATCACCAATATATACCAAGTTCAGTCTGACATGACAGGAAAAGCGAGGAAAACACGTCGTCAGCTAACGTGTTTATCGCGATTTCTCATATTAAATTGAAGAATGCACTTGACGTACGTACCACTGGTGTCGCCGTGTTCTCCGATGATCCAACCGTGGCAAGATGTAGGCGCGACGTTGAGTTTTTGCGACAGCAAGAAGCGGAAACGGGCAGAATCCAGGTTCGTGCCGCTGCCGATGACTCGATTCTTCGGCAAGCCGGACAGTCTCCACGCCACGTACGTCAGGATGTCCACCGGGTTGGAGACGATCAGAAGTATCGTATTTGGACTATATTTGACCAACTGAGGAATGATGCCTTTGAAGATGTCGGTGTTACGTTGAACCAGAGCCAGCCTGGTCTCCCCTTCGCGCTGACGAGCGCCCGCTGTCACGATGCAGATGCTCGAGTTCGCGGTCGCGGCGTAATCCGTGCTGGCGTTGATCCTTGCGTTCTTCAAGAACGCGCTGCCGTGTTGCAGATCCATCATCTCCCCCTTCAGTTTATCCGCCATCACATCGATCAGCCCAACGTCGCTCGAGATGTTCTGCGACAGGTATCATTTGTCGAGTGATGTGAATCTATGCATTTCTTATGGAATTTTTGCCACGAACAATTATACGACGGTGTGCATCTTATATCGCGTAATCTTGCAATATGCATTAACTTACATTTGTCAAGATGCTGAAAGCGCAGGCCATTCCAACCTGACCGACACCCACCACCGTGATTTTGTTCCTGCCGGTTAACACCGGTTCCGTCACGGTGCTCAACAGTTGGTCTTTTAATGTTGCCATTTCCTGCGAAATTAGAAGGCAGGCTTCATCGTTGAGATGTCGATGTAACATTTAAAAAAATTCATATTTCGTTTAAAAAAAATTTTTTTAAAGAACTAAGTTAAATTAAAAAGTTAAATTAAATTAAAAATTGCAATCTGTCCCAATTAGACATTCAGTAATTGATTTGTTAGTAGCACAAAGTCATGCGCGAAATGTGTCCACTGACACGTTTCCATCGTATCGCAATATTATACGTTAGTAAGTCCAACGGAATTTTCTTTTTCAATCGTCGTATAGTCATCAAATGACTAGCCAGTTTCGTTTGGACGATTCGAAGTTTTAAACACGAGAGAGAAAATTATCGACATTATCTTGTTTGTTCTTCAAGTTCAAATTAGCGTACACTACAAAAATTAACACCGGCCCGTATATCCCGTGAAGGTCAAAAAGGTCACGCGGCTGCGACCTTGCGTGATCTTTTCGATCTTCAGCTCAGCCGCCATTGAATTTCTCTATTCTGTGCTCGTTCGTCGAGTGAAATTCATGGCGAGGGCATCAACGCGCGAGTTCAAGAACCTCGTTAATAATATCGACGGCTCTAGCACGCGATACGCCCGTGCCTTTTTATAGAAGGATTCTACGCGCCGCGTCGGCAAACGCCGCGCCGCACCGCGCCGCGCCGTTTCGAGCGATGCCGCTGCAATTTCTGCCGCGCTCGCTGCACATAATGCACAAACGCAACGGCTGATGGCGCACGTGATCGTCAGATGGCGGTAATGGTGCGATAAAACAAGCATGTGTATCCCGGGAGAAAGACGAGAGCGCGAGTGCAGCAGACCCGTTCGAATTGCGGATGCAAACGCACGAGCGAAGCGAGGAAAAATCCGGCGGACGGCCGAGCGCGCACGTCGGAATTTAATTACGGATCGTCGATTACTCATTAATCATAGATCGCCAATAGCGCTTAACCGGCGAGATCTAATCGGCCGGCCAACGGCGAGCGAGCGAAGCCCGGTATCATTAAACTCGCTATACTTTGTATGGGAGGGCAGAAAGTAATAAATTTGCGATAGCAACGGTAACGGTACGTAGTGTTACTACTACGTCTACGTAATGTAGACGATAATATCGGGTGAGCGATGCCCGGCCGACGGCACCCGATTTTATCGTATAGATAATGAGCTCCGGCTGATAGCGAGCTCGGCGACAAATATCTCCGGTAAAAGAAGCGTATCGATGAACTAATGTTGCAAGTACGGTAGAGACAAGCGTTAACGAGTGACAGTCGCGATGCCGGAGAAGATGAGTCCTGTGAAACTTATCGCTAATGTTGCGCGATGCTGTCTCTTTTTCTGTTCAGCCTTTCTCGCTATGTGCTTTATCTTTATTTGATTTCTTGTTGTAACGCGCTACAGCAAGTACAGCAAGTAATCTAGGTGCTATCGTTGATTAATCAAAAGTGCTTTCGAATTATGTACTTGAAGAAGGATCTCCACTGACCTTAATAAGGTACTATACCACCGCGTGCACTGCTCCTTGAAGCTGTCGAATGCAGACTGAGCGCGTTGCAGCCGGCACGCCGCTATACTACTGACTGAACTGACAGTTCAGAGATGTGGGTTCGCTAAGGTGACCTTGTCCCCACCTTTTATACCTTCCACAACCGACGGATACTACGGGATACTCGAGATACCGGCGGTTACGTACTTTGATAGTCCGAAAGCAGGAAATTGATGAAATTGGATCCATGAAATGAGTTTTGCCAGAGTTTTCCAACAAATGCGAAAATTTTGTCTCGAATAGTGTTTCGAAGCACGTGTCACATGCTCTGGAATTTCACGGAGAGTAACATGACGTGCACGCACGCACGCGCAAAGTGACGCAACCTCACGCGCGGCTTGAGTATCTGATATCGATCCGTCCTGATGAAAGTCTTCTTCTCATGTATTTTCCGAGGATTCGCCAATCACGGGACGCTGCGGAAATGTGTTTCGTGTGAGTCAAATATATTTCTGGACACAATCGTGACTGCTGCGTCTTTAGCGCTATAGCGCTTTAGCGCTACTTTATGGCGGACAGTAAAGTTAAATCCGTCTTCCGACGACCCGGACGAAAAAAATATTCCAACGAGTATAACATTCTTAACAGTATATTTTGTGAATAACAAAACTATTTTCTACATTTTATTGACGAATAGTGCAACGTGATGCGTTAAATGAATTAAATTTGCTTGGTCAATGCATGTTATATATATTTTTTATATTATTGATTATTTTATCTCTTTTGATTTTATTTTCAATCAGTTTATTTATTTAAAATAAAAGAAGTGTATATATATATATATATATGTGTGTGTATCATTATATATTTTTATTACTGATTATTTTATCTTTTTTAAATTTATTTTTAATTATTTTATTTATTAAAATAAAAGAAACTCCAAATCAATGTGCACTAAAAAATCGATTCAAAATATTGTATCATCGAAGAATATCGTGACATTAAAATTTATTATTATACATACATTATTTTATCTTTTGTATTTTACGTTTAATTATCTTATTTGTTTAAAATAAAGGAAATGTATAATTATATATTTTTATCATTTATTATTTTATCTTTTTTGTTTTATTTTTAATTATTTTATTTGTTAAAATAAAAAAAACTCCAAGTCAATGTTCGCTAAAAAATCGATTCAAAATATGTTATCAAAGAATATCGTGACATAAAAATTTATCATTACGCACACATATAACGCAATGCTCCGCAACAATGAATCAAACGATTGCGCGACACCAGTTGCATGCCTTTCGACGAAACTTTCGCCACGAGGCTGCAACGCGAACCGGTGGTACGTGACTCAGGTCATCGATCCTTTTCGGAGCTCATAGAGCACGGTGTGCGTGTCAGCCGGCACGTACTCGGCCTTCTTTCCTCTTCCCCACGTTCGATATCCTCCTTTCCTTTTATTCGCACGTATACTCGCTCCCCATCTTGGCACGATCGCAGTCATACTCGGTGGAAGATGTGAGCAAGCGCACGTATGAAACCATCAAACTTTACTATCTGAAACACGATGTTGTGCCGCGTGACCCAGTTTGCTCCTAAAGAGGTTGCACTAATTTCCAAGTAAACCGTCGTCGAGTTTCAATTTTTTCGGCAAAAGAAAAAGGAGAAAGAAAATTATCGCGGCCGACAAGAACTACGGAGAGAACAAAAAGCACTTCGTGCCGTGAAGGACACCCTCCGAGAGATCAAGTCGCAATATTCGCGATCGAGCGGTGACTTTAGTCAGTTTTTACCGCGCGGTTTTAATTGACACGCGAAGGTAGAAAGCCGCCAAGCCCTTCTGCCGTGCAAAATGCAGTCTCATCTTGCATTTCCCCGCGCAATGTCATTTTCTCGAAAAAATAGTTGGCGCCGCCAACTATTAGGAGGTTCAATTAATTCCGGTCTTATTTTGTCAATTCTTTTATCTTTATTTTAAAGAAACGGATAAAGAATTTATTTTAAATTTACATCAATCAAAATATTTTCCATCGTTAGCTGTGACTTTTTCCCATCTTTCTGGCAACCCAGCGATTCCGCGACGATAGAACGATTTGTTTTTCGCAGCGATTTAATCAGACACCCATTTTTGCACATTCTTGTAATTATTGAAGTGTCTATCTGCCAAAGCGTGTTGTATCGATCAGAAAAAATGGTAATCAAATGGAGCCCAGTGGACTCTATAGAGTACACTGGGTGCGGAAGGATTTCCCATTCGAGCTCTAACAATGTTTATTTAACGATTGAAGCGACATGTGGACGAGCATTATCGTGCAAAAGAGTCACATTGCATCTACTGGTGGCTATCGCTGGTTTTTTTGCATCAATTCATCATTCAATTTGTTCAATTGTTGCTGGTATCGCTCCCTCTGTTTCATTCGGTTTTAGAAGCTCATAGCACACCTTATCTTCCATATCCGACCAAGTATAGAGCGTTGCTTAGTGACCGTGAATGTTCCGTTTTGGTGTCGATGTTGATGGTTGTCTTGGATCAACCCATGACTCTTTTCACTTTGGATCATCAAAATAAATCCACTTTTCATCTCCAGTTACAATTCGTCACAAAAAACTCTTTTTTCTCTGTCTGGCAAGCAAAGACATGGCGACGATTCAAACGATTTGCAATGGCACTTTCACTCAATTCACATGGAACCCATTTGCCTTCCTTTTGAATTTTTCCCATGGCGTGTAGGCGTTTAGAAATTGTTGATTTATCGACGTTGAATTATTCAGCCAATTGTTTTTTCGTTTGAGCGGTGTTTTCATTTAATAATGCTTGCAATTCAGAATCTTTGAACTTTTTTGCTTGACTAGTACGTTCTTTGTCATTCAAATCGAAACCACCACTTTTGAATCGTCGAAACCAAAATTTACAATTGGAATACGATCACCATAAGTTGTAACAAGCATTTTATGAGTTTCAGTTGCCGATTTTTTCAAATCAAATAAAAAGTAATGAATGTCGAAAATGTAATTTTGTACGATCTACTTTAAACGCGTATAAACAATGAAACTATGAGTAAGAATAGCGAGCAAACTATCGAAGAAATGTCAAATCTTTCAGTGTCGCCAGATTTCAACATTCGCACTAACCATTAACTTGTTACTAAAGCCATCTATTGCCAGTGACCAGGATTAATTCAACCTCCTCTGCCTCTCTCCGCATCCGCGTTCCCAATTACTGAACATTTCCACGCGGACATCTTAGCGTATGTACGCGTTGCGCAAAAACTTGACGAATTGCATGTCTCGTTTCCGCACTACGGCCGAAGGTTAAAACGCTCGGCGGAGGAGCGCTCGTGGCGCAGCGGCGTCGAGCGACACGACGGCGACGCGGCACCTATATGAAGATGGCACACATAATTACAAACCGGAGAGCCCGAAGAGTGGACGTCGCGGAATTAGCATAACCGTATATAAATGCACGTGTACAGGACAACCGGGCGTGCATATATATTCCGCCGGAATAACGCGGTCGTTTTTGTCTCACCTGCGCGTTATGTTTATCACTTCTGCGAAGCGCATAACTCGCTCGTCGCCGCCACCGCCGCCATCAGCTTCTCCTCCGACAAAGGAAGAGAGAAAGAGAGGGAGAGAGAGAGAAAGAGAACATGGCAGAAATTCAGACATCAGTGTCGCCAAGCGCGAATGACGTCATCATCGCGTGCAGTTTGGCGAAACTTAACGCGTCGACTGTCGTGTGACGACGACGAAGAGCCGCCATCGGAGAGTTGAAGAATGTTGAATGAGCATGGATTGCGGGAAAACTCTACGGGGAATTTCCAACCGATCATCGACACCATCGATCCTGAGTGAATTCCAAAAAGATCTGTCTAGCCGAAATTTTGAACAAATTATCGGTTCAGGATTCATGGGTTTAGGGTTTGTCTTAAAAGTTTATCGTTTAAAGTACAGTATCTTGGGTCTAGCTATGGCTAAATTGGGTTCTTGGACTATTTGGGGCTCCTAATTGGTCTGTTCTTTGTAGCTACACTGTTGAACTGGTGCAATAAGTTAAAATGAGACAAATATAGGTTTTCTCACTCTAGCTTATTGCACCAATTCAGCAGTACAGATACAAAGAACAGACCAAATAGTATATACGGCTTCATGCATCCACGAGCTAAAAAGTTTTCGGATTGATAAATTCCTAAGTTGATGCTTAAGACTCAAAATCCGTCGGTTTTGTGCTTAACACATATTTAATGTTTTTATATTTTAGGCATATGAGTTTTGGGTTAATGGGTTTCTGGTTCAAGATCGATAAATCTCGAGGTGTCTGTTAATTGATTTCATAGTTTTAATCCGCTGAATAAGTTATTAGATAGAAATAAGTGTCGAATAATGAGTATTTCACAAGTTTCTCGCGTTTAACAATAATTTTTCCTCTTTTGAGGCCAGTAATTCGAGGAAAAATTTCCTTTTTTTATTTTGGCAAGACAGATCTCTTCGGAATTTATTCAGGATCAACCTCATCCATTGGTGTCGATGATCGGTTGGATGCTCAGGTCTCCAGATGATTTGGAACCAAAGAATGTCATCTGGCCCCATTGTGCGCTGCCCATAGCTCCAAAGTTGCAGAAATATTGCCGCAACATTGCTGCAATATTGCAATGTTGCAGCAACGTTGTAGCAATGTTGTTGCAACTTTTGTGCTGTATGGGCGTCCGTGGCGGCGGGTCATCGTGATTCTCGAAATGCGAGACGCGCTGCGGATGTAAAACGGCGCGCGGCCGTCCGCATAGTAATCGGCCGCTAAAATATGCGGAAAGAGGCGCATTGGCGCAACGTCCCGCTGCGATTTCCATAAACAATGTGCGCAAAGTGCCCGCACAATTTGCCCCGCGGCCGGGGCAAAATCGCGCAGGGAGGGAGGGGGGGCCGAGGGCGAGCGAGCGGCCGAGCGAGCCTGTACCCTTAAAGCCGTCTCGAGTGCGCGGAGGGAGAGACTCCCTGGAAGATGGGAGGAGGACCGGCCTCATAATAGAGCAATTTAATAAATTGTCGAGCGTGGCAATTAGGACGGTGTTAGGGATCAGCAACGAGACCTTGATATGGTAATTACAGCGGGATAATGCATGTGCATTCGTTAGCGGCCGCCGTATATAGCGTGCACCGCTGTATACAACACGCATTCGGCCCCGCCGAGGCCCCGCTACGTTTGCACGCAGGACCCACGAATATTTCGGCCCTTTTCTCACGACGTGATTGTAAATTATAGCTCGTGAGAGAGAGAGAGAGAGAGAGAGAGAGAGAGAGAGAGAGAGAGA